CTAAGATTTACTACAGATTTGTCTATTTTGCTTATCCTTTTGAAGAACCAGCTCTTCTATTCATTGACTTTTTATATATTTCAATCTCCATTTGATTGCTTTCTACTGTAATCTTTATAATTTTCCTCCTTATACTAGCTTTAGACTTGGATTGTTCTTGTTTTTCTAGGACCTAGAAGTGCATCATTAGGTTATTGATTTGGACTCACTCTATTTTTGTGATGTGGGCATACACAGCTATCAACTTCCTTCTTAGGACTACTTTCACTGTATCCCATAAGTTCTGGTGTGTTATACTGGCTTTATTGTTTAATTCTAGGAACTGTCTTATTTTTTCCTTGATTTACGCTGTGACACATTCATTATTCCACAGTGTATTGTTTAATTTTCATGCACTTTCATATTTTCTGTGGTTCCTTTTGCTATTGAATTCTAGTTTCATTGCACTATTCATGTGTATGTTATAATTTAAATTCTTTTGCATTTACTTAAAAATGGTTTATTGGCCAGTACATAGTCTGTTTTAGAGAAAGTGCCATGTTCTGCTGAGAAGAATGTGTACTATGTTGTTGTTGGGTGGAACACTCTAGATATCTGTTAAAGTCCATTAGGTTGAAGCTTGGTTCAACTCTGATCAAAGAATTGTCTAGTTGATCTATTTGTGATAGTGGAGCAATGAAATTCTCCACTACAATTGTATTAATGTTTGTCTCACTTTTATGTCTATTGGTATTTGTCTTATGAATTTGGATATGACATTGTTCGGTGTACATATGTTTTTGCTTTTTATTTCTTCCTATTAATTTGTTTCTTTGTCCAATATGTATTGCTGTTCTTTGCCTCTTCTGATCAGTTTTGGCTTAAAGTACACTTTCCCTGAAAATTGGATAACTATTCCTGCTTCGTTTTGGATTCTTATTGCATGGAGTATTGTTGTCAATCCTCTGATTTTTGGTGTACAGATTTCTTTTGGGGCTATATATGTTTCTTTAGTATAGCATACATTGGATTTTGTTTCTTGACCAATTCTGCTAATCTGTATCTTTTGATTGGCTACTTGAGACCATTCACATTGAGAGTTACTACTGAAAGAGAGTGACTTATTCCTGTCATTGCATTATTTTCCTGTTGCTGATTCCCTTTCTTTCCAGTCTATGTAATTGCTCACCCTTCCTGATGCATTCATTCTATTGGACCTTTTGGCATTGTTAGCTTCACTGTCTTTTTCTTGGATATCCTTGAGAATATTTTGGAGTGCAAATTTAGTGGTCATGGAATTTCTTTAGGTGCTTTTTGTCATGGAATGATACTTTAGTCTGGGTTGGGAGGTTTTTTTTCCTTTTAGGTTTTGAAACATCTCACTTCAAGTTCTTACCTTTAAGGTCTGTGTTGAGAAGTCTGCTATAATTCTGATGGGTTTTCCTTTAAAATTGATTTTTCTCTTCTCTAACAACTTTTAAGATTCTGTTCCTGTTTTAGACTTCTGAGATTTTGATTATGATATGTCATGGACTGGCTTTTTCTGATCATGGCTGTTAGGTTTTCTGTATGCCTCAATTATTTGTGTGTTAAATTATTTTCCCATGTTAGGAAAGTTTTCTGATATCACTTCTGTATACATATTTTATATCATTTGTGCTGTTTTCTGGTTTTTCACTAAATCCAGTTAACCTTAAATTGCTCTTCATTGTGTCATCTATCAGCTTTTGGATTTGTTTTTCGTGATGTCTTTTTCTTTTTAAGGTATCTTTCAGTAATTGGTCACAAACAGCAGGTAGGGTCTTCTAGGTAGTTCTGACAATCTGTATTCACTGCGGTCACTTCTACTGTCCATATTTCTAGTACATTTTTTTAATCTTCTGAAATTTTGTTTGGTACATAGTAATGGATGCTAACTCTTTTTGGAGATGATCAGTTAGCTTTTAATTAGCATCACCTGTTGACTTTCTGATTATTTTGTTAGGATTATTATCTCTTTAGTTATATCTTCTTTGAGCTCACCAAGAAATTTATTGATCTATGTTTGGATATCTCCTCTGTTATCTTTTCAAATAATTTGGCTGTGTGGCTTTTGACTTTTGCCCCCTTGGTTTGGAGGATTTGAGAGTTTTGGGAGGCAAATTTTTTGCCTTGTTTTTTCATGTTTCTATTTTTTGTTCATTTGCTTGTTTTATGTGTGGGGCTTGTGGGTTGATTATAGTAGAAGGCTTTTTGCTGCTGATGCACTTTGGCATGGGTGACTACTGGCATTTACCTCCATTCCAGAATCACACCTCTCTCCATATCCATTTATTTGGGAGGGCAGGATTCAGTATATTTGGTTTCTTTCACATATTCACATTTCTTCTAGGATGGGTCACAGTATTATTAATAACACTAAGATAGTCCAGATATTGGCATACAGAGAAAGCCAATTGATAGCAACAACTGTGTCATTTTGTCTGTAGTAATAATATTAGCAACAATATTAGTATCAAAGCCAAACTGGATAGTGACATACCATAAGAACCAACAACGTGCCATGCTTAACCATAGAAAAAAGACCTATAATTATAGTATAAACACTAAGACAAACTAAATATTGATCTAGGGTAAATATTCTACTAAATGGAATAACTTTACCTCCACTAACAATAGAAGATTATACAATATTAATAGCACATAATTAATTATATATAGATAAAGTAGAAAAATAAGCCAAACATTTCTTTGTATTTCCAATTGAGTTTTTCCCTTCCAGGACATGCAGTCGTTAGAATCCAGCAAGTCAGAGTCCTTCTTGGCCAGCAGGTTTGTGAGGTACCCTCCTTGATCCCTCTGTCCATAACCCCCAATTGTGATAACCATTCTGACATACATTCCCATTCATATTAGTAAGCAGGAAAGCAATCAGACCTGTTTTCTCTACTGGATATTGGCAGCAGTGCAGGGGCTCAAGCATGCTGTGGCCTCAATGCATTCACCTTCAGATCCAGCCATCTCTGAAAGCCAGAACCACTAGGCCTGGCCTCCCAATGTGATGTGCAGGGCCTTGTATCATTCCCTGCCTGAGCTTGCACTTCTCAGGGGATCTAAGTCTAGCTCTCACTGCCTCATGACTGTCTCCCATGGCTGTCCTCACCCAGTTACTATAGAAGTATAACACTAACAATCCTGGAGAGAAGCTGTATTGTAGCTTTTCTGTGGCTTAGTCTGATACAATCAACCCCTGCCCAAAATGGTGCCTGATTAGACTCTCTGACTGTACGGCAGATGAAGCCATAGGGATTTCTTCTCCAACCCCATCCTCCCATGAAGAAGTCACTCAGGCTAAAATCCTGTGTTGTTTTTGCAGTTTTCAACATCTGCCTTAATGTTCTGAATTGAAAAGTGTTTACCTCTCATGATCATGTTGACTTTGGAGAAGAGCCAAAAGTTACAAGGTGCCAGATTGGGTGAATAAGGTGGAGAACACATCCTGATGTCTTCATGAGCCTGCTTTTCCATTGGATGGAACTCAGCAGTCCCACTGATCGTATTTTTTATCATGCTTTGCAAATCATTTTTCAGTGCAAATTCCATCATGTCAATTTAATCTCATTATCTGTTTACATAGGAAGCAGCAAGCTAAAATTTCTTTCCTCCTTTTTTACTATTAATGGGGTCTTTTTTTACAATATTGTTTCCATTTTTCACTTCTGTTTTATTAGAATTAAGCAATTATAGTTTCAACTGTTTATTTCTGTGGCCCTTGTTCTACCACATCCAATTCTCTTACACTTAGATTTTACTCTGCAATTTAGCCATTGTCGTTTCTATTTGTTTCATTACTTCCACCAAGAAAAAGCATTGTAAATCAGGTTAAGAAAAGCAGATAGTTTTACCTAGATACTAGCCAGTCAGGGAGATAATTGTGAACATTACCCCTCAAGTAGCCCAGTGTTGCTTTATTGTTGTAACCCACAATGGACCTAGTTAAGTGAACCTTTGTAAATTCATAGATTACCTTCTTAAGCCTCATTTCACTCATCTGTAAAATTATGATGGTAATAAAGCTCCTTACTTCTTGGGATGAATCAAAGTAAATCACTAGCATAAAATTTCTGGTGTACAATAAGTGTCTAATATGCTATTTATTCTCATTGTTATTGAAGATCAATAGTATGATATGTCAGTTATATCATTTCCAACTTACTGCTTTGTCAAAAGTATATTTGCCACCCACACTATTTGTAAAGGGCAAGTGGTTGTTTCAAAATGAAAATCAGAATGCTCCCCTTTCGGTGTAATAATCTCACCTCACATAGTTGTTGGGAAGGGAGAAATGAGACAATATTTGCAATGAGTCTGATACATAATAGATGCTGAGTGCCTGTGTTTTTCTTTTTCCTTTCCTTGGGTGTGTACCTTGAGGCTAAAAGATGGGTAAATAATTTTATGATGAAATTCTTAAGCATTTCTAGGAATCTGGCCTTCCTAAATGCTGAGAGGTTTGAGATCTGATTCGTGTGTCATGTTAAATTGCCTATACTGAAGCTCTTACATCCCATCCAAAATGTCCTAATAAAGATGCTGTTTGCTCTACTTTTATGGCTCTTGTACTGTAATCAGCACTTCAGGATGCTCTGTGTGCTACTCGTGATCACAAACTTAGTACAGGTTGGGTATCACTTATCAAAAATGGTTGAGACAAAACTGTTTAGGATTTGAGGTTTTTGGACTTTGAAATGTTTATATACACATAATGTAATATATGGGGATGGGATGTAAGTCTGAACATAAAATCCATTTGTGTTTTATATACACACCTTATAGGTAGAGCCTGAAGATAATTTTATACAATATTTGTAATAACTTTGCAAATGAAATGAACCTTCATGGTGTGAGACTTTCCACTGTGCCACATGAGTGCCCCAAATGGCTCACGTGTTGGAGCATTGGGATTTTGGACTAGAGATGCTCAACCTACAGACTGTGTCTATAAAACCTATGTGTGCATTTCATGTTTTTGTCTTTTTTAGATTTACTTGTGGGTGCATTTGGAGCAGGAAAAGTGGCTGTTTACAGGTATGTGATGGGTGGTATGCAGATGTTCTTTGAATTGCTTTAAATGCATTTCTTTTTGTTGTTTGGTCTAAAATATCCTATTCCAAGTATTTATTCTGGAGAATATTTATGAACTTATTTTAGAGCCTGGAGGTCTATTTGCCTTCACTCTGGAACCTTTCTTTTATCCTACTAGATTGTATTCTCACACTTTATGATCAGATTTCCAGTCCCTAACAATGTAACATTAAATAAGATACTAAACTCAGCCAATCTTAAAATGACTCACTTTTTAAATGTTAGATTATTTTAATTCGCCATGCTTTCAAAATCAATGAAATGTGCACCAATAGAGAAGGGGTGGGATAGGAAAATGATACTGTTTTCCCTGGTTTCTCTCATAAAGTCTGGAGACTAAGTTAAGAAATAGGACATACCAGGAATTGGTTTCTTGCAAAAGCAAGTGTTGAGCAGCAATTCAAATGCAAGAAGATAGCTTGAAAGCCTGGCCATTCTATACACTCACTGACTTGTAATCTTGGGCAAATAAATTCCTGTAAGTCTGTAAACCTTAGCATTTTCATTTGTAAAATGTGGGTAACAATGCTTCCTTTATAGAATTATTTTTATTAAAAGGGTTCAGGGAGAATCAATGTGTAAAACACATGGACTAGTAACTGGTTGGATCGTTGATGCTCAAAATTTTAGACTTTCTTTAAAAACTGTTTAATAAGAATTCTAGAAGCTAGATCAAGATATCTAAACAAAAGACAGAGCATAGATAAGTCCTCTGGGCATGTGATACTAATCCATTCAGCTCCTAGAGTCTAAGGTTCAGTTTTCAAAATAGGTAACATTTTCTTTTTCATGAGTCTCAAGACAAGCTCAGTGAGGGCAGATTTATACCAATTACCTCCACTTCAGGTTCTAAAGAATCAAAAGGCTGAAACTCTCAGGGTTCTTGGTGGCAGTGAAAGTGCGCCATTCAGAGTTAGTGGAGAAAAACTGATCATGTCCCAGCCCCAGCCCCACTGCTACCCTGCGAATCTACTGCAGCCTTCGGACCAACACTCTGTTTTCCATGAGCTACTCCCATTCAAGGAGGAGGACAAGGAATAAACACAATGCTATTCCTGCAAGATCACAGCTCCTCTCACAGGCAATTCTGGCTCATGGACACCTCATGCATGGATTCATGGATCACCCACAACTGAATGTCCTATCTAACTTTGTCGTCTTCCTTGTACCCTGCCAAGAATCAGAACTCCCCTTCTGCACCATTCACTCCCCTTTCTTCTGATACATGTTTGCCACAATAAACCTCCTGCGTGTCTAATTCTATTTTACCATCTGATTTTTCAAGGATCAGAACACAATATTAACAATAATATGAAATAAAGTACAGATAAATACCATAAAGGAGCTTAGGAAAAATCCCAGTGGGCCCCATGTGGTAATCATGAAGTTCTTTGAAGTAGTGCCCTAAACAACATTCTGCCCCAAGACACAACCATTCTCTCTGTCTGTTGGAGGAAAATTCATCCAACATGGCTCATTGCATGCAGAAATCTGGCAGCTCTGGCTCCCAGCAATCATATCTTGTAATCAAGCTTTAAAAATTGCTTCACTCCCTTCCCCTGTGATTTAATTTCTTGTCTTATTACCCTCACCTGGGTGGCTGAAATGGCTTTTGCTCTATGTCAGTTCCTCTCCTCTACTGTAGTGACCCTCTAGAATCACCTGGAGAGTGTATTTGAAAATGCAAAGCCTAGCCCTGAACCCAGAAGTTCTATTCTAGTTTGTTGGTCCTTAGGGTGGGGCCTGAGCACAGTGTTTGTTTAAAAGCTTCTTGGGTGATTATATTGTGCAGTCAGGGTTGAGAACTATTGCTCTGGATGAAGCATAGAATTATTCTGTAAACCCACCCTCAGGTGTTTAGTTAAACCTGCAAAACCCAGCTTCAAAGTTACCATTTGAAGTAAAACATCATCAATGAGCTGAGAGGATTAGTAAAATTCAAGTATTTACTATGAGTGGATGTAAGATAAGGTATTTTTTTCAAACATGGGTACATGTACTTTAACAAATTGCAGCGCAGCCTGTCACAGCAAAAATGTCACAATACCACCAGTCTATCCCCAAAGACAGCAGGTTTGTGAATGTAACCATGCCCAGAGCACCCACGCATCCTGCATCCTTCATTTAGATTCACGTACTGGCTACCAGAAGTGTTTAGAAGTAACTAGTTGAGTGATGCCAACCTGTCCATGCACAAGCTGAATTCTTGACACAGGCTGGCAGTGTTACAGGGAACTCTTCTGTGCAGTGCACTTCTGCCTATAGCCCATGGATTCCATACAGACCTTGTGCTTTTCCCGCAGAGCAAGGCCAGTTGTGACCGTGGATGCCCAGCTTCTCTTGAACCCAGTGATTATCAATCTTGAAAATAAAACTTGCCAGATTCCAGAATCTGTGACACCTGTGGCCTGGTGAGTCAACCCGGTGTATCTTAGACACTAATGTGAAGCTCTTCCTGCAAGACAAGTTACTTCTGTCTCAGCCAGCTCTGGTTCATGGGTGCCTCATGCATGAGCTCTTGGATTGACTACTGTGGATTCAGATCACTTGGGTATCTGGTAAAATAAATGTGGACTTTTGGTACAATAAGTCTGGGGTAGAGCCTGAGGCTTTACATGTCTAGAAAAAGTTTCAGGAGGGGGCATTGGTGCTGGAGGTCTGAGTAGCAAGTCTGAGTAGCAAGAAAGTAGTCTTTCAGAAGGAACTCTGAGGTGATGCCGTTCTGTGGCTCTCAATTTACCATACAAAGAGGGTCCTCTGATCTACAGGCCCTAAGCGAGGTGAGAAGCACAAAAACTTTTGGGGACGTTCCCACTGAAACACATCTCAGTGATCTCTGAGTTTCCTGGCATTCTCAAATAAATGTTAAGCAAACTGAAAATAAAACACAATACCTTGACTCTTGCACTTGCTTGGGCTCGTGGGTACCACTTTTCAGATGTATTTTACGTCCCCTTGTTTTAGGGGCCTCACTTGGAATAAATTACTCGGGTTCCTGTGCAGAAAACATATGTCAGTTTTGTAACTTAGCATGTACAGAAAGGAAACATTATAAATATGGAGAATTTTGTGCCTTGACCTGGATTTTGTGGCCATGAAGCCATCATCGGGAATAGTGGCATAATCATGGTTGTTTTGTCTGGATCTTAAGAGGACGTGGTTCACGTCCCCTTTGACTCATGTAGGTTACCTCAAAGGACAAAATGAAACTTGATTGAAACACAGCCCAAGAAAGTGCTACCTAACTTCTAAATATGTATATAGATTCCCCAAGGATCAGAAATCACAGATTAGATCATGTCATCAGGAAAATCAAGTCCAGCACTCTGGGAGGCTAAGGCAGGAGGACTGAAGGTTTGAAAGTAAGCTGCACAACTTGGTAACTTAGTAATATCCTGTCTTACTGAGAAGGGCTAGGGCTGTAGCTCAGTGTGACTTCCCTGGGTTCAAGCCCCAGTATGATAATGAAAAAATGAAGTTCTGGGATGTTGGAGATTTGCCTTCGTTTTGCAGGACACGCTATCTAACTCAGGTAGAATGTTCAGTCCCTGAGAACAGCAGGATATAGAACAAGCCAGTCTTGACCAGAAGTTATTTCCAACCCATTTTAGCATGTTTTTGATGGCCTTCTGACAGTAGTTCATACAGGAGTCTATACTTATGAGAGTGGAGGGTGAGTAATTTCTAGGACCCTTATGAATTCTTTTGAAAAACATCCTGTTCCCGGGAACTTCTGCATGGGGAGGCATGTCCTGGCCTTTCACTGCTTTTGGAAGGAGTTGGGAAGTGCCCTGAGCACATTTTAGAATGCTTGAAAACCATAAAACAGTATAATGAAAACCTGATCTGAGAAAATATGTGAAGGAGCCAGCATTTCCCCTTACCCTGGCGTGATTAAATGAACATTTAAATGAACTGTGAATGCTACTTGAGCATAAGTAGCATACAACTGTCATATTCCCCCAAGTAATCCTCTCTTTGACAAGTCCTACCTCCGTGCACTTCTAATCACAGGTAGAACACTCTTCTATAGAATGTGCTTTATTTGAACTAGTCTTTTTTCCTAAGGAGTTTCAGTTTTATGGACATTTTTATAAGATGTAAGTAGCATTAACAACATTATGGGGCCCATTTGGTTTGTAAAAAGAATATTACTTTTGAAGCAGACAGTCTCATTCTTTCACAAGCCATTTTCTTGTTGCATTAATCATTTTATTAAGACAAAGTGCAACCTGCTTTGTAAGCAAATTATACCACATTCTTTCACAATTATTTATTTTATGCTATTGCATACATTTCTCTGCAAGATGTTTTATTTTCACAGGTAATTTTGAAGTATGACTCAAAGTATTAAAAGATAGAAAGTTAAATAGCTGGTTCAGTGTAGAATGTGTGTCTCTGATTATTATTATTATTAGCCTAGAAATTTAGCTTAGTTTTTCCGAAGTGATTGAGAGGCCTCTGTTGATTTTCTTTGGTGTCATTTTTGTCTGTATTTAATATAACCTTGTACTATAAACCTGGACGCTATTACATAAGCTGTAGTTTACAGAGAGTTCCTCATTCCCACTAGTGTGGAGTTCTGTCTTTCAGCTGGCTATCTAGCTCTATAAAATATCCACTATTGGCATTTCTAAGTTAGAAAAAGAGAATAAAATCTAGGCTGAGAAGTATTAATACGCCTATAAAAATAGTAAGAACTTTCACTTCGGAAGTATAACTATCGACTTTTCCAACCTGAAAAAAAAAAATTCCAGATATGAGTGGCTGTATGTAAAATCTGACAGTTGCCATCATTCACATAGGATTGAACTGGTGAGGCTGAAAACTGAATTGCTTTGTACTTTCCAATCATGCTTCATGTGTATCTCATTTCTTCTCTGTCATACACAAGTCTGAACAGTCACTTAATGGATGAGGTCAGTATTGCAGCTGATCATAGGAGGCAACGCGGGAGGACCCTATGTTGTATTTTCCTATCTTCTCAGCATATCAGAAGCACTGTCCACAGTTTGATTTAGATTTATGACATGAAGGACCTATGTTATTTCCATATTTTTGCTCCAATCACACCCATTCAGAATAATAGACCATGCTTAGTATGACATAAAATTTAGTTTGAAATATTAATGCAAATTCAATAATAGTTCACAGCTTTTACTGACAACCCACATGTACTAATTAAATATTGACTAATTAAATATTGGTATGTACCAATTTAATATTGACTGGAAGGAAGGCCCAGTTCTATGATATATAAAAGCTTATAATGTTTACTTGCGGATAGAAGTACTTTTTTTATTCTTAGAATGACTCTTAGGTCCAAACACAGTTCTCGAAAGTTTGTGATTTTTAAAAAGCCTTTACTGGTAGTAGATTTAGGTCACAGTGCTATTACCAACAATTCAGTAAGTTTTAGTGGTTATATTAAACTTGTATGGAAAAGTTTAGTCATCCAATTGTTAATGATATTGAAATAACAAAAGGAGGGGCTGGGGATTTAGCTCAGCGGCACAGTGCCTGCCTGGCAAGTGCAAGGTCGTGAATTCGATTCCCGGTATCGAAAAAAAAAAAAGGAGAATTAAGAAAGAAATATAGATGTATTCTGACACAGAATTCATAAATCTAGGAACCTTGGGCAAACAAAATCATTTATCAAATACCTCCTCACAGAAAAATAATGTGCACTTTCCTAGATTTAATTTATTCCTTTTTCAAAAAGTATATTACTTTTATTTGTTCATATTAAACAAATCACTGTACCTCAAGTTATTTTAATTTGTTTTCATAATTTCATTTGTAAATATAAATTTATCTTGTAAAAGCCAATGAGTTTTGTCTATGTGGAGTAATGATAAATGGAAAAAAGTTCAACAGGTGATTTTAAGACGTAGCCAAGTACTTCCAGAGAAGCTAGGCACAGAAAAAAAATCCGTTTTGGAAGTCAAACCTGCTACAAAATTTAAAGACGTGATTAACTATTCATCTTCCATAAATAATTCTAATTGAAGTAGAAGTGAGTTGAAATTTGTGATTTCTCCAGGGAAGTGATATAAACACTTGTAATAGCACAGACATCTCAGGAAACTTTTGGCTTAATGGTATGTGGCGAATTATTTACCCTGAAGGGAGACATTGACTGAGGTCACCCAGATAGATGAATCCCAGATGTGACACATTTGCATTATGTTTGACACAGGAAGCTGATACATAATTAACATATGATTAGGGATTATTTACTCCTTTTGAGTGCCATAGAAATATTCAAATTATGCTGTAGCATTTTTTAATAAAAACTTTGTCATGAAATCATAATATGCAGTTTTTTGTATTTCTACTTTCTTAGAAATATGGAAAGATCCCATCTCTTATGCTGACTGTTAGAAATTTTCAGGAGGGAGATGAGAACATTCAGCAAAGTCTAGCAGAGACAACTGGACAGTGCTCATTCACTCCATGGCCACAGATCAGGGCCAAGGGCAGGTCATCCCACAAGCCATGTAGACATTTTCTCATTGGTCAGGGCATCTGCACAGCAGAATGACGAAGTGTCTTTCATGCATATATACCTTCTACTGTTGTTATGGTCATGTCCGTGTCCCTACCTAGCTCAAGACAGCTGCTTTAAGTCCCTCGTTTACTTCTTGTCTCGGCTCCCTTCTCTTGTGTCTCTACCTCCAATCTTACCTCACCCACAGCGCAGTACCACCAAGTTCCAGTCTCCTTCCAAGTGAGTGAGTCAAGTTAAGCAGAGCAAAGATGCTTCCTAGGGTTCAATCCACATTCCTTAGCACACGTTCAAAGCTGTGTTCCAATCAGGATGCTGGCCATGCCTCTTTCAGCTACCCTATCCATGGGGATGTTGCAGCCACACTAAGTGTCTTTAGGTGCTGCAGATGGGGCCGTGTTCATGCTATTCTCCGAACTTCACCACTGAAAATGTCCCCCTCTGTAATGATAATTCTTCTCTCCTTGGCGCTTGGAAGATACTCATATGTATTCACGCAATAAACACAGCAGGATATTAATTGATAAAATCCAGTAATCTATAGTACTATTTTCAAATATTGCCTTCTATGCAGTGGTACTTGTCTTAATTGTGTTAGCTTTGTGGCTACTGTTAGGAGACATAAGTGTGTGTGTGTGGATGTGTGTGTGTGTGGATGTGTGTATAGAATTGGAAGGATGGGGGAAATGATGCATGTATTTAAACTAAAATGAAGGAAAGGAAGATTTCTCCAGATTCAAAATTTACTAACTGATAAATTATCAACTATTATTTTTCCATAGCTTTTCTTTAAGAGTATGTGCATCTGTAACAGGCCAGAGCATTCCAAATACAATAGGTGAGCTTGTTTTCATTTATACACTCCCTACTGTGCTAAGAAAATTGAACAATAGGCATTTCTCTTAGTGTTTCTCTTATCAATAAGCACAGACCGTGAAAAACTAGAGAGCCTTTCATTCACACCTGCATGTCTAGTGCATATGCACAACCTTCTGCATAAACAGGATTTTAATAACTGATTGAAGCATTATATATAAACACATAATTATGGAGAAAATGACAATGTATATTTAAAGCTTTTAGCTTAGATACTCTATTTTAAATCTGTTTGGTTTATGTATTATGTGTGATCTCAACTATGAAAATTTATGTTTCCTGAGTAAGCAACTTGAAATAGAAGTTTATATCCCTGACAGAGCACTGTGTTCACTGTTACCTCCTGTGATGATATTTACTTCATGTCTCTCCTTTAGCCTTGGTGGCTGAGCTGCAGTTAGATTCCCTGAAACAAAAAGGAGCCATCAAACGGACACTCCTCCTCGACAACCGTCAATCCCATCTCGTCTTCCCTCTGCTGATAAAGCGGCAGAAATCCCTCCAGTGTCGGGATTTCATTGTTGACCTTCGAGTAAGTGCTCCAGAAATCATATTTTGGCCTCTCACATGTAAATCTGAATTCCAACCATTTTCTTCCAATGAAGCATTGTCTTTGTCTCCAGAGACCTCCATCTGTCTATTTTCATTTTCATAGGAGGAAACTTTACAACTAACTGTTCTCTTCTTGACCCTGGCTTCTACTAACCTAAGGATCTGTTGCTATTAATTTCTAAGGCTTCTTTTTGTTTTAAATAAAATCTTGATAACAGCACTCAGCTCAGGTGGTTTTCATTTCGAACTGCCTCCCTGCCCCACAAAAAGCATAAAAGTTCAACACGATTTATTTGAGTTTTTATCCTGTCAGTATGTCTTCTTAGATGTTATCAGTGTGCATTGCAGATCCAACTTAGGAACACATTCAGGCATCCAAAGCTTTGATTAAATGCAGTTTACAATGGTGAGCTTTAAAATGTGATGTGTTTTTACAACTCCAGAGCCTACCAGGAAATTTTAAAAGTTAAAGAAATGTTTATAACACAGCATCCCATCTTCACTGTGCCAATTGTTAGGCTGTGACACTCTGTATCATTTCTCTTCCTCCTCTAAGGGACTAATGAAATCCAAATTCACTACCACACCCAAGAATGAAAAGTCACACACGTGACCTTTATGTCCAATCATGGCCCGGTTGGCACACGGCTGAATGGTCCCATTGCCCGCTGTGTGCTTCATGCCTACTGCTTGGCACTCACCCTTCCCTTGCAGGAGGTCTGTTTCCTGTTGTAATCCAACTTCACATGTTCTGAAGGTGTTTTCAAGTCCATGCAAGCAAAAGCTTAATGAAATAATAGAGCAGGAAGAGAATTAAGATGTCTTCCTTCCCACAAGCCCAAGAGAATTCATAAATTCTACCAGCATGAAAACAAAAATCCTAATTCATGGTGGTTTCCGTGGCATGTGTAGTACCTCAGTGTGATCTTGTACTTGGAGACTTCACTAATTCTGCATAAATTGTTGAGAGTCTGGAGAACAGGAAGTTTACTTGTAGAAGTTTACTATGCTGAGGCTGAGGCTGTAAATAACTCCATCCCTGAACATATATTAATTATGCTGGCTACTCTATACCACATAAAGCAGCATGTGACTAAGAAGCCCATTGCAATAATAATGCCTTCATTACCCCCTTTCATTGACTAAAGTCAAGTTTTACCTGCCTTTCACAGACTAATCTCCTGCAACTATTTGAGTTTGTGATCATTTTCCCTAGGATGAAACTGAATTTCGAGATAAATTATCACCAATCAACATCAGCTTGAATTACAGTTTGGATGAGTCCGCCTTTAAAAAAGGCCTGGAAGTAAAACCAATATTAAACCACTACAGGGACAATGTTGTTACTGAACAGGTATGTCCTTAGGGCGCTTTCCCAAGGAGGCTGTGGTGGGGACAGTTGTTCCCATGACCTGAAGACTGAAGTCAGCCCCTTCTGTTTTTATTCTTGCAGACTTGTAAATTTGGGAGTTTTTCCTAACACATTTCCCGAAACAGTGCATTCTCGTGCTTTCAGAAGCCCTTTCTCTTGTGCAACCAATATTTAATGTGTTCAAAATGTGGTTTTAATGGAAGCACTGCAGCCCAAATGCCTGCAGACAGGCACAGAATGCCAGGATAGCATTCTTTACAGACTTTCTGAAAGGAATAGGAATTGGACTCCAAGCCAACTAACCTATATTGAGAGGTTGCCTTGTAACACAGGGTGTAGAGCTGGATAGAATCGTATGTGGTGAACTGAAAGCTGAGGTTTCATTTGTGCAGTTGTTTGGAATTTTGAAGAGAAAGTATATGACTCGGGTTTTCCTAGCTTACCCCTGATGCAAGGTTTTTTGGACATAGGCTCACATCCTGGTGGACTGCGGAGAAGATAATCTGTGCGTTCCTGACTTGAAGCTGTCTGCTAGACCGTAAGTTTAAATAAATAAACATGCGTGCTATAGCTAATGGAATACAGGTGTTTGTTTAAAGCTCTGCTGAAGAAAATACACACTTCTGATAACTACCGAATATAGAGGAGAAAAGGCACTGCATGAAGCCCTTGAGCTGGGCCACACTTTGCATTAGCCTGTGTGTAAGTCAGTTGTTTGTCATCGGTGTCAAGTGACGCACCCTGAGATTTTGCCCGGCCCGTTTCATCTTTCAGCAAAAGTCAGAAAAAAGTGTTTCTGTTCAAAGTAAACACGTGTGCAGGGTGTCTCAGATTATATTTACTTGCCTCAGTCGAGTGAGCAAAGGATTCAGGCTGGCTGGGTCTGTCCACACCTTAACCAAATGAGTTTCACAGCTCCCCAGGACTCAAAGGCATCCTTAGAATTGTCAAAACAAAATTAATTTTAATTTGCTGGGAAAAAAAAACTTAAAAGGCACACTAGGGAGCAAAGCGTAGTGTGTCACAAAGTCATGGAACTTCACAGTTGCTAGTAATGGGGAGCTCCTCTCCAGCACTGGTCATTGCGTTGCATTACGTGATAGAAAGAAATAGAATAAGGATGCAAGACAGCCTGAAATAGAAAAAGCAGATTTGTGCTCTTTTCTCTCTCGGGAGCTATCTCACAGCCATGTTTGGAATCTGCTTGGTAATCTCTCCAGGGGTCTTTCCCCAAACTCTATAATTTAACAAGCGTCAGAAGCAATAGCTTTGAGTAGGGGTCAAAAGTGGAAGAGGCATTCCCCAATGCTGGTTTGATTTGGAGTTCAAAGTCAATTAAATTTCCTCAAAATACTTCAAAACCCTCTATCAGCCATTTCAGATCCCGTTTCATCTGCCTATTCCTTCCTTCTTTACAATCCATTCTGCAGTCTGTCCCCCTCCTGCTCTAAACCATCTCTCTTCCTTTCCTCCATAGCTTGTTTCTTCTTAACGTACAATGTGCTGAAGTTGCCTCTCTGGCTTGTAAGACAAATGTTAAATTTGCGGGAATTTTGCTAACAGATGGTTAAGTATGTTGGTAGCTAAAAACTGACCACACTGGAAGGATTTACTCTGTCTCTCTCTCTGTCTGGGTCTCTCTCTCTGTCTCTCTCTCTATCTCTGTCTCTCTCTCTGAGTTAAACATCTGCCTGCACACCACTGGATATTTTCCTGCCCTTCCCATCCAGAAATGGTTTCCCTTCATGATGATCTCATCTTCTTTATCCTACTCTTGCATTCACCATTTTTTCTTTTTTCCCTAAATTCTCGTGTATATAAAAACAATGGAAGTTTCTTTGGCCCACAATCATAGAAACTGAGCAGTCCAAGAATACGTCACCAGCCTATGGCAAGGGCCTACAGACAGGTGTCACAACATGGCACAGTAGCATTTGTGGTACATAGAGAAGAAAGTAGACCAAAGTCACTCTTTAACAAAGCCGTTCTCTCGATAACTGACTCCCACAAAGTGACACAGATCCATTTGTGAGGACAGAGCCTGCCACGACTTCATAACCTCTTAAAGGTTCTTCTTAAAATCTTAAATAAAATATCCATACCATCAGAAAAGTAGAATGCCTGACCATTCTTTCTAAACTGTATTTTCAGAGATAAGGACCAGATCATCATTGGAGATGAAAATCACCTTATGCTCACAATAAATGCAAAAAATGAAGGGGAAGGAGCCTACGAAGCCGAACTCTTTGTAATGATACCAGAAGAGGCAGATTATGTTGGCATTGAACGCAATACCAAGGTAATGTCTGTGAATTATATGAAGAGCTAAGTACATTTTTGAGTTCAAGCAAATTCATCTAGACTGAGTTTCTTTTTGACCGAAACCAAGCAAAACCACATCTTACTCTGTCAAGTTCTAATAGCAACAAGCCAGAAAGAGGGATAGGAACACCCCGTGTTGATGTCTTTCTTTGCGACAATTCCAAACATAAATTGGCCAAAGATTCAGAGTTAAAATGAGGAAGAAAACAAAAGTAGCCAATGCAATGGATCGGCTAACTTCCCAAACTAGCTCGTTATTCTCACTGGCTTCTCATGCTTTGTTTTGAGTTCCTTTTAAGTTTCAGGCAGGTTGCAGGAGGCCTGGTTTTTATTACTGGTTAGGGAAGAAGATCCAACCAATCCCCGCTGAGCGCTGATAACCGCCTGGACTGGAACCGCTAAAGAAAACAAGTTCATTTTCCTTTCTTCTTGGTCCACCTTGTTGGTATGGTGACCAGGAAAAACCTTATCTTCATTTGCTGGTACACAGGCCACTATTTATAACAGTAACACCAGTGTTATTTATAATCTTCCGGTTCATTATCAGAACATAAATCTTCCCACTCTGTGTAACCTCGGGTCCTGCTGTGCTCTTAATCTCCTGGTCTAGGAACCACTATTAATATATTAAACATTAAAAGGAGAGAGTCTTTCCGTTTCAGAAATATATGCACGCAGAGACAGACACCACATTTCTCATAGGAGTGAGCACATCAGAGTTGCCTTCTAAATACTCCCTGCTGAGCTTGTTTATTTAATTAGAAATTATTAAAATACTACTAGTTTTTAAATACTACATGCTCTAAGGAGCTTGCACATTCTAATGATTGAGTAATGTAATGAAAAGGGATTCCTCTTTGTGATGGTGTTTTAAAGGCTTAGGAAATATAAAATTATTCCAATTTTCAGTCTTATGGATTTTTGTTTTAGTTGAATTATCTTCTCAGTTAAAAACAATCCAGATGAATAGCAATAAAGTGTCTTTGATGACCATTTGAAATCATGATGCATTTTTGGTAAAGAAATTAATACAAAAAACCCTAAACACACCAAGTTGTACACATTAAATATGTATAGATTTTTGTATGTCCATCATACCTCAATAAAGTGGTTAAAAAGCCCAAAAATGTTCTAACTTCCTTGTTAGCAGAGAAGTTGATCAGAAGAAAACATATCTCACTTCTTTTCAAAAGTATTTGCAGCTGTACAATCTGCCTTCCTACATTTCAATCATGAATATCAATTTGTACTTTAATTTCTCCAGGGAATGGTCTCTACTCACCCCATTTTCTTGTTCCTCTAGTTAAGCGATTTTATACTCATCTTTTAGAGTGACTTCAAATTATAGAAATCAATCAGAATAAATACAGCACTTGTACACAGAACTTGATTTTGAATTGAAAAATGTCATCTCATATGAATATGCACAAACAAAACTAAAGAAAGGGAGCAAGAAAAATATCACCTCCTATAAATACATGCAGAAATACAAAGATAAACATGAAAATGAAGCTCAAGTATGTTATTTTTTTTAAATGTTCCAGGGTTCCACTCATATTTTTGTCTAAATTCCCTTTGTGTCACCTCACCTCTGATTCTGCTGAACAAACCAATTATTCGAGAACATTCTTTTACCAAAATATCCAGTTTACTATTCACTTTGTTGCAATGGAAAATATGACAGAACACTTATCATTCTATTGTTGGCTATAAACTTTACCACAGACATTATCCATAATCTCAAGTGAGCCCTTGACATTTTTTTTTCCTTTATCAGCTTCCCTTGGGAAAAACTTAAATCAGTCTTTAAATTTTAGATGACTAAACCACATTCTCTATTCTTCTTTGCATTTAAGCAGTTTGGAGTTTGTGTGCCTTTTCATTTGAATATATATATATATATATATATATATATA